CCAATCATTGCTTCATAAAGAGAATAAATAAATGTTCTTTATGATGTCTTTCCTTTCTAAGAATCAGCTTAATCACTTTAATCCTTCCTCTTCCAAATATCATCATTATCTTTATATCCATTTTCTTTTTCCTTCCTAAACTGAAGCTAATGGGTAACAGGATCATGCTTGGAAACGCAGCAAGGGGGAGTATTCTACATTTTCTCCACACATAATGGGGGAAACTGCTTTGAGTAGTATTTTTTACAACCAAGTGGTGTGTAAACTTTATGAAATAAATAAACATAGTTGTTCCAATGAAAATTACTGCACTCCCCTCACATTTGGAGCAGGGGAAAAAGGTCTGTCCACTTGGTGACAGATTCTAGAAGTCTGGAAAAAGAGTTGCTATTCCATTTCCATCTTAAAGCAGAACCGAAATGACTGTGTGCTACTAAATCATCCATATCTGGAAGCACCCTATGTGTAATGACCCTGCCATTAAGGCACACAAGTTACAAAATTGATTTGAAAAATGCTATTTGCACAAAATACATTTTTCACTACATATTTCATGTTCAAATTACTATGCATCTATGAAACACATCTCTGTTCTCAGTTACAGCGATCCAATGAAGTAAATCCTGCTATTTTCCTGAAGAGTTTTTGACCTCTAGATTTATCCAGATATATATACAGTCATGGGAAAAAGCAAGTGCACCCTCCTTGAATTCAGTGGTTTTACATACGAAAACTTAATAACAATCATCTGTTCCTTAGCAGGTCTTAAAATTAGGTAAATACAACCTCAGATTAACAATAACACATGGAATATTACACTGTGTCATGATTTATTTAACAGAAATAAAGCCAAAATTGAAAAGTCATGTGTGAAGAACTAAGGACACCCTATGATTCAATAGCTTGTAGAACCACTTTTAGCAGCAGTAAAGGGACCCCTGACCGTTAGGTCCAGTCATGGACAACTCTGGGGTTGCGGTGCTCATCTCGCTTTACTAGCCAAGGGAGCTGGCGTACAGCTTCCGGGTCATGTGGCCAGCATGATTAAGCCACTTCTGCCGAAGCAGAGCAGCGCTTGGGAATGCCATTTACCTTCCTGCAGCAAGCAGTACCTATTTATCTACTTGCACTTTGACACTGTTGTGGAGGAATTTTGGCCCATTCTTCTTTATAACGTTGCTTCAGTTCATTGAGGTTTGCTGGCATTTGTTTATGCAGAGCTCTCTTAAGGTTCCGCACAGCATTTCAATTGGGCTGAGATCTGAATTTTGACTGGGCCATTGCGACACATTGATTCTGTTCTTTTTCAGTCATTCTGTTGGTGTGCTTGGAATCCTTGTCCTGTTGCATGACCCAATTTTGGCCAAGCTTCAGCTGTTGGGCAGATGGCCACACATTTGACTATAGAATAGTTTGGTATAGAGAGGAGTTCATGGTCAGCTCAATGACTGCAAAGTTCCCAGGTCCCGTGGCTGCAAAACACGCCCAAATCATCACCCCTCCACCACTGTGCCTGACAGTTGGTATGAGGTGCTTGTGCTGATATGCTGTGTTTGGTTTTTGCTGAATGTGGTATTGTGTATTATTGTCAAACATCTCCACTTGGCTCTCATTCTGTCCAAAGGACATTGATCCAGAAGTCTTGTGGTTTGTTCAGATGCAACTTTGCAAACCAAAGCTGTGCTGCCATGTTCTTTTTAGAGAGAGGAGGCTTTCTCCTGGAAACTCTTCAAAACAAACTGTACTTGTTCAGTTTTTCCCCCTCATTGTACTGTCATGAACTTTAACATTTAACATGTGAACTGAGGCCTGTAGAGCCTGAGACGTAACTCCCCCCCCCAATCTCTCCAAGCATTGCACTGTCTGACCTTGGGGTGAATTTGTTGGGACATCCACTCCTGAGAAGATTGGTAACTGTCTTGAATGTTTCCCACTTCTGAATAATCTTTCTCACTGTAGAATGATGGACTTAAAATTGGTTGGAGGTGGCCTTAGAACCCTTCCTAGTTTCATGGGCAGCAGCACTTGCTTCCCTAAGAGCATTGTGTCGTCTTTCCTCCTTGGCATTGTGTTAAAACACACCTGAATGCTCTAGACCAGCAAACTGCAGAAACTTTGGCTTTCATAGAGCTGGGCACACTTGCTGATGATCAATTAAGCAAGGACATTTGATTAGCAGCCTCTATCCGCTACTTAGCCTATTAATTCCTATGGAAGCAGTAAGAGTGTACTTAGTTTTTTCAGACATGATTTCTCCATCTTGGCTTTATTTCTGTTAAATAAATCATGACATGGTATAATATGTCATATGTCGTTGTTCATCTGAGGTTGTATTTACCTAATTTTAAGACTTGCTAAGGAACAAATGATTGCTATATGTAAAACCACAGAATTCAAAGAGGGTGCACTTTCTTTTCCCCATGACTGTGTATCTCCAGCAAGATCTGATCATTCCCTTGATAGCATCAAAAACAGAGAGTCAAATGTTAATGCAACCCGCTGGCTATGATAATGATGTTATATAATTTCCCAAAAATAATAACACCAGAATGAACAGTGTTAATTTTAACATTTAAGCAAACTACACAAAGCTGATACTTTGCCTCCTGTATTTGCACCCATATGCACTGAAGAGAATGGAGGAATATTATTTTTAGCATTTCTGGGACCAACCTCAGTGACACCAATAAGACTTATCAGTGGCTTGACTGGAGCTGAAGTAACCCCATTTTTAATTCAAACAGATCTAGAAAGTAATGTCCAGAATACAACAAAACTGTTGTATTTTTGTACTGTAAACTGCCCTGTGACCCTTGAATGAAGGGTGGTATATAAATTTCAACAACAACCATGGTGTCAGTGTTTCTAAGGAGTAAGATCACAAGTATACCCTGAGACCTGCGGGTATAGGGTGGTATACAAACAACAACAAGTATGAATAACTAACTAATTTTAGAGGGGGTTTTTATTGACACACTACAATCCTATATTCAACTACTCAGAAGTAATGGAAATGAAAAGTCTTCACTATGCAACAATCAGTTCTGTTGGGTCTGTCTTCAGCTTCCCCCCGCTGCTGAATAATGTTAACAATGGTGCATTTTGACATATGCTCTTTAGAAAGATATTGGTTTATATTTCCCACAAAAGAAGCCATGTGGAAGCAAAAAGATAAATTAGTCTCAGCTACTTTGGTAAGCATCAATCTATTGTGTCAACCACACCTTTTTTTAAAAAGGAAAGCAGCAACTGAAAAATTCAGCCAGGAACAGAAGAGTGGCAGAGTGGGCTTAATTCTTTCCCCTTCTGTTGCTTGTCCACACAAAATATCCCCACAGTTGTCTAGTTTTGTGCCTGAAGAGAAAAAAATATGAGGTCCCCAGATATTTTATTCCGAAGGTGGGCAAAACAGGAGTAGGGAAGTATTTCTAGCAAACAAACTGCAGGAGGAAAAGTGGGGTAAGCAGTTGCTTCACCAGTAGTTCCTAGACTTTCAATCACAGACCTATGACTGTTTTTCTTTATTCCTTTTTAAATGATGGAAAGTGTCCTGGAACTCAGTGTCACATCTAGTTAAACCCACAGCAGATATGCATGGGCTGAGACATAGCTGAGGCTAAATTACTACTTAACAAGCTGAGAATAAAAAACGTAAGGCAATAAATAAATAAATATATCCATAGATTGCTGGAGTATGTCAATAAATCCAATAAATGAATACTGATATCTTTATCAATAAACATTTTGTCCCAAAGTAGTAGCCAACAAAACAGAGCAAAAGGACCAGAACTAAAATATGAATAAAAACAATGATGACAACAAAAATTTCAATTAAAAGTGCAATGCATTGACTCTTTAATGTCATGAAGTAATTTCCCAGTGAGTCCTAAACCATTTTAATAGTAGTGTCAGCTTGAAACTTAGCATAGGGAAGAAAATCCCAATGACTTCTCCTCTGCTGCAGTGGTTAAAATAGGATAACCACTAAATAATTGGAATTTGATGAACTGTACATGTATCTTCCTGGAAGCTGATGCCTAAGGTGGGAACTCTTCTGATGAATGTTAGAACGAGCCTGCTCAAAATTCAACCATGGCCATTACTAACATGACTGGAGATAATGAAAATAAACAGAAAACATTACACCTCTCCTGGATCCAATACTTCTAAGGAACAGGATGGAAATCCATTGCCAGAAGTGGCTCATCCAGCATTAAATAAATTATTTGGCTTGCCATGCTCAATGTGTCACAAAAACATGGATATGGCATGGTACTGCCAGCAAATTTGACACCTGAGATGAGAGCAAGAAAGAAAATTAGCTGTTTTGCAATTTTCGTTGTTCAGCGTGTAAGAATCAACATTTTGCTGTTTTGCTTTTTTCCTGATACGTCACCTTTTTCCACAATCATCAACCATTTTTGATGCCTCTAATCCACATATCTCTCCCTAGTCAAGCAGAAAGGATACTCAACCTAACAAATGCTGCGGGTGATCTGCCATGCACTCAACACAGTGGTAATTAACAGAGATAACTTCACCAGCCAGGAAGGTTATTTGAAATTCCTGTTACATACTTTTCCTATTAGCTGTTGAAGATAGGCCAATGAAGTTAACAACTTATTTGACTCTAAAGAAGACATGTGGAGGTCATTCAGCTTTTCTTTTCTATTTTTTTCCCCCTGCAGTTTATAGCTATCATCATTTAACACTTGATGATGATGAAATACTAATGTGAAAAAATATGTATGCATATGCTTATAAAAGAAATGCCCTTTAGAACCAAGATATAGCACTGCAAAGGCAGAACAGGACTAGAGGAGTTTTTCTGAAACCAATAGGCAGTCCATGAAAAGAAGCAAACACTAAGACAAATCATTATTCCATGATTATTATTTTTTTAAAAAAATGAGTGACAGATATTTGTTATTTGAGCTAGTAATTCCTGCCTTCTATTTAAGCCAAGTAATATGAGAGGGAAAAAATACTGGATGACTTACCCACACATGGGAGGGAGTAGCCAAGGTCAGGGTCATGGATAAACTGGCGATTGTTCAGCATAGTGACACAGTATAAATGAAAACAGTCCAGGCAAATGACATGGCGATGTATGCACTGGAATACCAACACGGGGCTCCTAAAAGGAAAGGGGGGAAAGGATAAAGCAGTTTGTCATTATTATGCCATGCTATTCTATGTAGCTTTGCTTCATGCTAGCAGTCTTCTATGCTTTATATGGAACATACAAAGACACAACATCTGCCTAGAGAGGACTTGCATGCTAGCACTGAGGATGAGGCTTACCAATGGCTGTACAGGATTATCGCGAGATGTGATGACACCGATTTTTAGGACTGTAATTAAATTAAGACAGACTGCACAGAGAGGAGAGGGGTGAATAATTTAATAGCAAGGACTGGAGGGTAGTGGGGGAGAAAGAACGCCAATATGTAATTCAGTCTCCATCAATAACATCCTACATGTTTCTGAGGATTGGAGAGGGGACATAAACCACAGAGTCATTGGTGATATTATGCCATAATTCCAAAAACAGTTTTGCGATGCATAATTCAACCTGAGCAGAATTACTGTATTGGCCCAAATATAAGCCGCACCTTTAAAATTCAAGGGGGAACAAGAAAAAAAGACAATACCCGAACATAAGCTGCTCCCTTAAAATTCTGCAGGCACTCACACCCGTTCTGTTTTACCGTATGTCTGTTTCAGCAGTGATATCGTAAAAGCCAATTTTTGTAAGGTCGCGGATTTAAGCCGTACTTTATCTTTTCACGGTCAGAATTTGGGGGGAAAGTGAGGCTTATATTCAGGCCAATACGGTATACGGAATTAAGACCATCAAAAGCTCTTTCTAGAGATTCATTATAATGATAATGTATATGGGGGGGACATGCTGCCAATATGCTAACCCCCCACCCCCCACAATCATTAGCCTTAGGATGAATGAACGGCTGCACAAGTGGAACTCAACAGTCTCATTCCAACCATACATCTAAAGCATGGCTTTCCTCCCTGGGGGAACAATATTGTATTAAGTATAATGGAAATTGTAGCTCTGTTAGGGGGAAACTACAATTCCCAGGATTCTTTGCAGGACGCCATCTACTTTAAAGCTATGGTGTTGGCCTACATTGACATAATCCCTGCACTGGTACAATAGTGCAGGTTCACATCCATGGCAACACATTGTCTATTCTTCCACCCTTACAATATGGTGACCTAGCTTCAGAACCTTCCCTGACCAAACAGCTTGCAGCAGTTTCTACCATTAACAGAACACAGGATAAGAGTCTTCTTTGCCACAAACCCCATAATGTAAGTGTGCTCCCACCCTTCACTAGGAAAGGCAATAAGAAACACAGCTACTTTCATTGATGGACACCAAGCACTGCATGCCACTGATTGCTTTGCTGGTCAAACATTCATGATCCATTATTCATTTCAGGATGAAAATAAAGGCCTGTGACAGCAAAACAAACAGCAGCTGCGGCAGAGTTGCAATGTAATGCCATGCTTTGGATCTGTCAGTATATGGTCTTAATGTGAACACAATGTCCCGTAATAATTGCAGCCCCAAATATAGGCACCAGAGATATTACTCCAGCAAGCAATTTGGGGGCCTGGCCATAGCATCACAAATGAAAAACACATTGCATATCTTAAGGGGTCAGGAGAAAGAGTTTCTCCTCAACCAGGCATTTGGCTGATTTATATTCTATGATTTTTAAAATGTGTTTGTGAGAGCGGGGTTATTGGTTTGTTCTTGTTTCTGTTTCATTGTGTAATTTGTATTCTAGTTTTGTATTTATCTCTTGTGAACTGTCCTAGGATCTTTGGGTGAAGGGATATATATATATATCCAGACTGCCATATATATATATATATGACAGACTGCCATATATATATATATATATATATATATATATATATATATATGCTTTCGTAGATTTTCACGGGTACAGGAATGCAGGTTTTGGTGTCCTCGGGTGTCTTCCCGTGTAAAAGTTGGGGTGTCTAGGCGACGTTTCGACGAGGTCTCACTCGTCATCTTCAGGCTGGTGCTTTCGGCTTCTTGTTACTGGAACAGAGCAGGATCTCAGTGTTTGAGTTCCTATAATACTGTTGAGGGGGTGTGGTGTATAGCCTCCAATGTTCTGGGCAGAGAGGAAGTTCCCAGGCTAGTGTGCCTTTTCTTCTTTTGTTCCTTAATTACTTGAGGGATATCTTGAGTGATTTCTTGAGTGATATTCTGAGTACCACTTAGGTGGGTCATTAGGTGTGGATTAGTTGCTAAAGCCTTCGTGTCTTGACCTCTTGAACTTTGTGAAGAGTTTTTCTGAGAAGATGGCTGTACTGCACTTAGTTGTGCTCTGGCTTGGCTTCGTGTATAGGGGCGAGCTGTGGTTTTGTGTCCTGTGCCAGCCAGATCTGTGTAGGGATTGCAGGGGGGTGCAGCATCCGGAGGTGCCACCATGGTTTGGCTACTGGATGGTGTCTGTAATTTATCTGTGGAGAGGGTCTGGGTTTGGGTCTGGTGTGGTTGATTGGTGATGGCGTTCTGTGTGCCTCTGGATCTGGTGTCGGTTTTTGTGGGGAGGGCTAATTTCCAGATGTCTGGCAGGCGGGATGTGTCGTCACGCTTGTTCATGTTGTGAGGGTGTTTCTCTATCTCGATGGCTTAATCATGGAAGCCATCATTGGCTTAATCATGGAACCCAATCATGGAAGCCAGAATAATCATGGAAGCCATCGAGATAGAGAAACACCCTCACAACATGAACAAGCGTGACGACACATCCCGCCTGCCAGACATCTGGAAATTAGCCCTCCCCACAAAAACCGACACCAGATCCAGAGGCACACAGAACGCCATCACCAATCAACCACACCAGACCCAAACCCAGACCCTCTCCACAGATAAATTACAGACACCATCCAGTAGCCAAACCATGGTGGCACCTCCGGATGCTGCACCCCCCTGCAATCCCTACACAGATCTGGCTGGCACAGGACACAAAACCACAGCTCGCCCCTATACACGAAGCCAAGCCAGAGCACAACTAAGTGCAGTACAGCCATCTTCTCAGAAAAACTCTTCACAAAGTTCAAGAGGTCAAGACACGAAGGCTTTAGCAACTAATCCACACCTAATGACCCACCTAAGTGGTACTCAGAATATCACTCAAGAAATCACTCAAGATATCCCTCAAGTAATTAAGGAACAAAAGAAGAAAAGGCACACTAGCCTGGGAACTTCCTCTCTGCCCAGAACATTGGAGGCTATACACCACACCCCCTCAACAGTATTTATAGAAACTCAAACACTGAGATCCTGCTCTGTTCCAGTAACAAGAAGCCGAAAGCACCAGCCTGAAGATGACGAGTGAGACCTCGTCGAAACGTCGCCTAGACACCCCAACTTTTACACGGGAAGACACCCGAGGACACCAAAACATATATATATATATCAAGGGCACTACAGATAAAATCAGCAAAATCCTCCATAAACACAATATCAAAACAGCCTTTTGCACCAACCAAAAAATAGCCAATATCCTCAGAAACCCCAAGGATAAAATCCAGTTGGAAAACCAAGGGGTCTATGAAATACCCTGCAAAGTCTGCCCAGCCACGTACATTGGACAAACAAACAGACGAATAAATGCACGTATCGCAGAACACAAGAATGCCGTCAAAAAAGAAGAAAAAACTTCCTCTCTTTTCCAACACATGAAAGAAACAGGACACGAAATTAATTTTGCAGATTCCAAATTGCTCTCTAACATGGAACATCACCACAAGAGAATAATCATGGAAGCCATCGAGATAGAGAAACACCCTCACAACATGAACAAGCGTGACGACACATCCCGCCTGCCAGACATCTGGAAATTAGCCCTCCCCACAAAAACCGACACCAGATCCAGAGGCACACAGAACGCCATCACCAATCAACCACACCAGACCCAAACCCAGACCCTCTCCACAGATAAATTACAGACACCATCCAGTAGCCAAACCATGGTGGCACCTCCAGATGCTGCACCCCCCTGCAATCCCTACACAGATCTGGCTGGCACAGGACACAAAACCACAGCTCGCCCCTATACACGAAGCCAAGCCAGAGCACAACTAATTGCAGTACAGCCATCTTCTCAGAAAAACTCTTCACAAAGTTCAAGAGGTCAAGACACGAAGGCTTTAGCAACTAATCCACACCTAATGACCCACCTAAGTGGTACTCAGGATATCACTCAAGAAATCACTCAAGATATCCCTCAAGTAATTAAGGAACAAAAGAAGAAAAGGCACACTAACCTGGGAACTTCCTCTCTGCCCAGAACATTGGAGGCTATACACCACACCCCCTCAACAGTATTTATAGGAACTCAAACACTGAGATCCTGCTCTGTTCCAGTAACAAGAAGCCGAAAGCACCAGCCTGAAGATGACGAGTGAGACCTCGTCGAAACGTCGCCTAGACACCCCAACTTTTACACGGGAAGACACCCGAGGACACCAAAACCTGCATATATATATATATATATATATAGCAGTCTGTCATTCAACCAACCAACCAACCAACCAACCAACCAACTGGGATATCCTCTCTCAGCTTATTCCCAATGGACACCTAGTCACAGATAGTGGCATTTCCAGCTTCTGCCCATTAGGTTCCACTGTCTCCAGTCAGCCATCCAAGATGCACAGAGGCATGTATGGCCACCAATGGCATGCAGACCACAACTAAAACCTACAGCAGCAGCAGTGACAAGCTGAAAAGCAGCTCTTCATGTGGAGCATTGCCATCTTTTTTCCCCTCCCAAGGCATTAGTACCTTGAATGCGACTTGGAAAAAGCTGCATCTGCTCTCTGCCTCCCCACCCCACCCCGGTATTTCATGCAGGTTTCAAAGGTATGGCTGGTCTCTTCATGCAAAGCTAATGTATGTGTTTCGTCATTGTGTGTGCTTGTTTTCTCCTGCTCTGGAGGGTAGGACTCAAACCAATGGCTTCAAGTTAAAAGAGAGGAGAAGCCACTAAACATAAGGGAAATCTTTCTGACAGTAAGCTGTTCAACAGTGGAACCGTCTCCCTCAGGAGGTTGTGGACTCTCTTT